AACTTCTGCTGCCGTGTTTCTCCGGGGTACCCCCTTTTTTCTTTGGGGAGGAGAAGCACGACGCGGTTGGGTAGAGCTGGACGCGCTCCGCGGTGCAGTGAGCTCCGTGTGTGTTTGATTCCGTCTGTACGAGGCGGGGATCTGCTTCCTGCGCCGGGGGAAAGCTTTGGGATACGCCTGCTACAGTAATCCACCGGGAGAGCACGAACACACTCGTACTCCATCCTGCAGCACAGGGTTTTCCACTTACTCTTGCTTTTCCATGTGTTGTGAGGGTATGCCTAGCTAGTAGTTATTGCTTCTTAATTATATAATGTAATTTTTTCCTCCCTTTATTCTGGGAGGAGTCAAGGCTGTGGCCAGCGCACTGGTTCTGTTTGGTTGGAGGGTCAGAACTGAACCCAAGGGGAAGCTTTGTATGGGAGCTGCTTTCAAGAGCTCATTTCCGAATGATTGCTGGTTTTAACCGTGTGTGTCTACACCTAGTCATTGAGCAAGGTTGGAAGAATAAAGTATGGAGATGTATGCATATTCCCCCCTCCCCAGTTAGGACTTTTCATATTAAATCCATGCTGGGCTTCAGTCTTTGGAATTGAAAATAGAGCCCCAGGTACTGTTTCTGATAGAGGTAATTTAGTTTTAAATTACTTTTTTGTCAGATCATCTGTTGTATTGAAGTCATGGCAGGTTGTTGAAGCCTTGTTCATCTTTCTGTAATTGTTGAAAACAAAATGCTGGTACTATCCAGCATTATCTTGCTAATTTATTGACAAAATATGATCTAAAGCAGACTAACACATGCTTTTGCAGTTTGCCTTTTTATAAGTGTGATGGATCTTTATGGCTGACTGTTGAAGTTGGTCCTAAACAGTGTGTGGAATTCGGGTTTAGACTTTTGGTAGCTGTTAGCTACTGTACATATAAAAAGTTGTAAGTAGGGATTAATTCCTTGTTTAAAATCTAGATAGCAGTTTCCTGACATGGACAAGGTCTAGGGATGAAAACAAATGGTTCCACATGTGAGAACTGGGATGTGAAGACACACCTACTTCTTTACATGCAGTGGATTGATAAATGGATATTTTTGCTTCTTTCCATTTTTGATAACTAAATACTATCCAAACCTCTAAACATGCCTGGACATTAGAGGGTTTGGTTTAAGTTGGTTTATGCCACTGTTTTGATGCTACTTTAGGGTTTTTTGCTAGTTTGAAAAGGCACATGGAGAAGGCAGAGAGATGGATTAGTCTGGCAACAGAGTGTATGTTTATGTTTGTTAAGCAAATAGGCAATTGACTGATAGGGAATATCATTAATAGCTGTCTGCATTGTTTTATAGACAACACCTTGTGAAGCAGTGCAGACTTCTTAAGGATTTGGTTGACAAAGGTAGTTCATGAGGTATAATAGTGCTTAGAAAGTAAAGCTCAATAGTACTTAACATTGTTACTTTAAAATACTCTTTTTCAAGTAGTATGGGAGTGAGTGGTGGATGGATAAAAGCCAGTCAGCTGGGATCTCAGAGTTGGTGGGGAATTGGTCCCTTACTGGCGGGACTGTAGAAGGGCCAGAAACCAGCCTCCTCCTGTCCAGCACTTGAATTGCTGCCTCGAAAGCTGTATATAAGATAATGAATTTAAAACCCTGGGGTGGCACAGGTGTTAGTGGAGTAGTAGTTAATAGTGGCAGGACGTGTATGGCTCTGCTCTTGATTGTGTGATAAAGTGGGTCCACTGAAATAATCAAGCGTATTTTAGCACACCCTGTACTTGCAGCTAGTTTCATTCTAGTTAATCGTCCACCCCATCAAATACTTTGTTCTTGCTATGAACAGGCTAATGAAGGTAGATTCTTTATGTGTTTGATTGGCTGCTCTCTCCTGTCTTGCTATTGTTTGATTCCAAATTTCAGTATTTTAACTTCCTGTTTTGTTTTGAAGGGGGCATAGAGTAAGGAAACTTAATTTTGGGGGTGTTCTGTTTGTGTATCAAGAACTTGAGCAGTTACTTCTACCAGAAAAGCTCAGTGCCTCTGGGTTTTTTTTTTGAGCTACCTGGCAATTGTCTCGCTTCTGTATTTTACAGCACAGTCTCCCCTCTGTGTTCATTATACTTAGGGAATAAGGGGGGTTTTGCTGGTGTTATTTTCCTTGAGCAAATTTTGCTTTCATGCAAGAAATGCCCCCCCCCCCATTTTCATCCATGTGGCTGTTTGCATTTAAACACTAGATGTCACTGTTGCAGTTTGTGTGTGTAGCTGCGTGTGTATGCATTTATGCATTACAATTGTTGAACCAGAAAATACATTTTTTTCCCTGAAATTACCACTCCTAAACATCAAATTATTCATTAATCTAATAATAAATATCCAAGGCTGCCTTTTCCCTTTTATCCAACCTCATAAATCACTTTAAATCATCAGTGAGATGAGCAAGCACTTGCACTGGATGCTTTCTAATAAATTCATTATGGTGGTGTATGCCTGCTTGAGGAATTCAGTTAATTCAGTGACAGCAAGCAGTACATGGCCCTGAACTCGAATAACATTTACATATGGAACAAATTATGCTAGTCATGCATCCTTACTAGAAACAGAACTCCTGATACATTTTCTGTGTTGTTCCTTTTTTTTACCCCTAGATTCAGAGTTAAGCTCAGGGCTTCCAGAAGACAGCTACTCATCAGGAGGTGAAGCCCTGGATGGTGATGATGAAGATGAAACAGCAGCCCTTGGCAATGAGGTTGAAGAGGCAACAAGCTCCGAAGCTGGCCCAAGTGCAGGCTGGGCAGATGCCATGGCAAAAGTGCTCAACAAAAAGATTCCACAAAACAAGTCCACCATCTTGGCCAAGAATAAAAACCTGGAGAAAGAGAAAGCAAAGGAAAAACAAGAAAGGCTGGAGAAGAGGATGAAGGTGAGGAAAAGAGGCAGTATTTCATTGTGCTGTCACAATCAGATGGAGATATATGGAAGATTCCCTTAGTGGGGATCTGGGAGAATGATCTCAGACTGTCTCGGTTTTGGAATCTCTCCTCCACAGTGATCTCAAGTAGCTTCAAATTGTTTTTTTACTTTCCAGACAGTCATGCTGTAGGGCTTTTTCCCTTACTGCTTTTTCTGGGCCATCAGGCAGGATGATCTTTGGCAGCAGGACTGTTCCAGGCTGTCAACTTCAGGTGTGTTTCTTCTTGAGAGGGTGAAAGCAGCTGCTTTAAGCTTAGGTTTCTAATTGCTGTTGTTCATTTGGGCTATAATTCACTTTGTTGGCATCACAAGTTGAAATAGTTCTCTCTCACTGAAAGTGAGAGGGAGAAAGAAGAAAACTGCTTTCATTTAAATTCTGCTGTGGTTTCCAAAATCAAATACCTATAGGTTGAGATTGCATTAATCACTGATGTGGTTGCAAATCCTTGTTTGTTCCCCTCCACGATTTCCCTGGTAGAGTTTTCTGTTATAATGCCTATGCCCTAAATTGCTTCTGGTTCCGAAACTGCTATGAAGAAAACAAAACTCTGTTGGCAATTAACTAATTTGTTTGTGTCTTTAGTGGAACTTTTAATTTCCAGGCTGTGATTGATTTGCCTTCAGGCTAAAAATACATTAATAGTTCTGATGTCTCATCATACCAGTTGTGTTTCAATGGGATAACCAGGTTATCCATCTGACAGTTTGGGACATGCTGTGGTTATGCCATGGCCTGCCTTTTAAATACAGGGAGTTTCAGTTCAGCATCTGCTCAGTTACAGTTGTCCTAAATACCTGTTCTCATCCAGTAAGTGTGTGAGATGACTGCAAAGCAGAGGTGGGTTGCAGGTCCCCAAACTGACTTGTTTACCCTTAGAAATACTTTAGAATAGTCTGCCTTCCATTAATTTCTTGCTGATGGAAGCTAGAATAGGGCAGTTCTTTTGATCAAAGGCCAAAACATGGTCATAAACTCACAAATTCGTAGTAGTCTGCCTGGAATTATAAAGACAAGGGCTCTGAAATTGCATGAAAGACTCCTTGCATAAAACAGACTTAGCGCAACATCACCAGGCTTAGAATACTGTTAAACTGTTAAAAGAGAGGAAAAAAAAATTCACTGCCTTACTCCTGAGGCAGAGGCTGGGGAAATACAATGTTCTCCTATTGTAACAAAAATAAAGCTGGTGGTATTGTGGCTTCTGGAAATGGGAAAGCAGATTGGTTTGGTTTTGAAACAGAGACTCCAAAAAAAAAACCCCAGCAAAAATCAGCGTTGTACACAGTTGCTGTTCTCCAGTGGGCACTTGGTGCTCTTCCTCTTGTTCTGCTTGTTGTAACCTTTGCTGTGTTTCACTGTTGGTCACAGTGCTGTACTGTGATTAATTCAGTGGGGAAGTCAAATTCCCAAGGCTCAAAATGCAACATGGGTCTTGATAGACCCAGGATTTTATTATTTATAACTTTCTCTGTGATCAGCTTGTGAAGTCTTGTAGTTGAAAGCTATCTCTGAATAATTTCCTTGCCTATAGCAGTCAGTGTGAAAGCATTTGAGGTATTGTTTTAGACTCTTTCTGCTTGTTTTGAGCCAGAGGCATTGCTCTGGTGTGAGTCTTTCCTTTTGCTACAAAAGTGACCTTAAGATTTGACCATGGCCTTTGATGTGTCAGTGCAAGAGTCTTGCCTTGAGACCTGCTGTCCAGCCCCTTACTCTCAAACCAAACTGAGCTTTGTTGATTTATCTTTTATTTCTTTTCCTCCTGCTACATACTCTATCAAAGTATGCTGCATTCTCAAATGTCCATGTTGTTTCACATCACAATATTTATATCGCAGCTCGATAAAAAGCGGGAGTGGGAAATGATGTGCCGAGTGAAGCCAGATGTTGTCAAAGACCGAGACAGAGAAAGAAATCTTCAGAGAATTGCCACAAGGTAAAGAGTTTTTCTGAATGCTTTCTTTATACATGTATGTATAACGAAAAGAAGAGGAAAAGGGGAAGAAAAGTCCTGTGCAGCTAATCTGTTTCCAATCAGACTGAACTCTTAAGAAGTGCCTACTAGGAGTCAAGTGATTTATATACTGGTCTGCATTGTACAATATCAAGTTCAACAAAGGATTTCGGAAGCTTTATGAAAGAGTAAAAATTTAGATGGGAATTTAATGTTTGCTTAACAGAAGTGCTTTGCTGAATCCCCTCATTTTGTTAATTTAATGCTTTCAAAATGCACAACAGTTGCTTCTACTGCTCTGGTTTTTCCTTCTCCACAGAGGATTCACCAGATCCACGTCTTAAGTTCAGTTGCCTGTTCTGCATTGTGGTAGTTTGGTGTCACGGAACTAGTCGAATACCTTGATGTGCTGTCCGTATCTGTCTCCTTACTCAGTCATCTGCCTTGTCCCTCTACTTCAGCTGCCCTTAAGAGCTTGCCTGAAGAATTTAATAGCTGAGTGTAGGACAAGTAACATGCTCCTGGGGATGAAAATGTTCTTGAACTTACCTTAGTGCTGTGTTACAGTGCTTACTTCAGGGTCTGAATAGTTCCTTGTGGATTTGTTTGTTACCAATTCCTAGCAGTAAGTGTGAAGGAAGAGTGAAAACAGAAAGTCTCTTATGCTGTAGTAAATGGTACTTCTTAATTGAGGTTCCGAGTAACCATTTTGGGGAGCTAGAAGCCATCCAGCATTTTCAGTGATCCATTGCTTAGGCAGGGGATTCATTTCCATAAAGGGAACTTGAGTTAAAAACTTTGTTTTGTTGGTGTGGTTTTTTTTTCCCCATCCCAGAGGAGTTGTACAGTTATTTAATGCTGTCAGGACACACCAAAAGAACATTGATGAGAAGGTGAAGAAAGCTGGGACATCTGACAGGCAGCGTGCTAAACTGCTGTCATCTGTTTCAAAGAAAGATTTCATCGATGTCTTGAGAAATGCAGAGGGTGCTAAAGGAAGCAAGAATCCTGCTGGAAAGGCCACAAAAAATAAACAGGTAGGCTTTGTCTGGGAGAAAAAATGCACACAAGATCCCTTCTCAGTTTTTGTCCAACAGTGTTTTGTCCGACAGTTGTTGTCCATTAATGTACCTGCTCTTCAGAGCAGATGTGATCCAAGTGCCTGGGTTTTATTGAGACTAACTAGGAAGGGAGCAAGTAGCTCTTAGCCTGTTTTCCCTGGTTTTTGAGTTTCAAGGCATAAAACATTGGAAGTTTTCCTTATAAGACTTCAAGCCTTGTGTAGAAATGACTTGGTTTAGCTGTGTGTTTAAAAAAAGAATGTGAAAAAGTGGATTTTATTGTGGATTTTGCACCAACCATCAACTGAACTGCTAGATTTTAGTGTATTGTGACATTTGGAATTTAGCCAGTGATAGTTATCAGCTCTTTAAAACTGTTAAAGGCACAGGGGTTTTTATCTTACATGGTGTATTAGTCTGTACTGCTTGCATGTACTGACAATTTGGGGCATTTCAGACTCACTTCTCTGGATGATTATGGCATCTGGAACTGAAAGGCTTTGCCATACAAGTGAATACAAAATAGAAAGAAACTGAGACATACTAATCATTATATGTGCACTTTTATTTCCCTAATTCTGTGTGTGTTTTAGGCTGATGTGGCTTTATTGCTGTTAGAATGTTTTGAAAAGAAGTATTTTAACACATTCTACTTTTTCCAAATGTGCTCAGGAGAGACACAGTATAGTTGGACTCATCCAAGTCTTTATTAGTTCTTTCAACTTACCAAGTAGCTTTAGGGTTGAAAACAAGTTGCTCTGACATACTCTTTCTTGTGTTTCAGAAGCTGCCTGTTTTTGGAGTGTATTTGTGTTCAGGTTTGAACTTTGTGCTTGGTAGTGGGTGGAATACTTCTCTTGGCCTGGACTCACAGTAGTTAACTAAGTGCTTTTCTGTGCCAGGAAGAAATACTTTAATCAGTTGGGAGACAACAGTTTGTCATATGTTTTTTGTTTGTGTGCACTTGGGGAGCATGCTGAAACACTGCCTGGCATGAAGAGCTCATACAACTTCCATGCAAATGTAATATTAAAGTATTTTTTAAAATTGTTCAGATAATGAGAACAATTTAGCTTGGTGCTGACACTTTATTTCTCCCTAAGTAATTCCAGCTTGCTTGTTTGGGGTGGGGGTCATGCGTGTGTGTGGTTTAGGTTTGGGGTTTGGTTGGGGTTTTTTTCTCCCCTGGAATAGCAGAACAACATTGGAGTGATAGCAGTGCCAAGTACTATTGTAGTAGGCATTGAATCAATAGCTGAGCAAAAACTAGGACTTTTCTAATCTGTCTCAGATTGTAGCAGGGCAATTTTCTAATTACTAGGTCAGAAAACATATATAGCGAATGTTTCTCTACATTTAAAAGCAGCTTATTTTGGCAGCATCATTAACAGCATATTTCCATTAAAGTGCTCTGGAGATGCTTTAGATGCTGGCTAGTTACTGTTGGGTTTGAGTATTGATAGAGGTGCTGCTACAAAACCTTGAGATTTTGGAGTTTTTCATGAATATAAGGTTCTTCTTGCAGGTTTGGGGAAGGGGCTGGTGGTTTTGGTTGGGATGTTTTTTGAATAACCTTGTCTGCTTGTATAGACCATCCCACTCCCTCTCTCCCTTGTTGCATTTGCTTTAGTGGCTATTCAGTACTGAACCAAACTCTTCAATAACTCATTTTCAAGCTGTTCTTAATCTGCCTTATTTTCTCTTGACAACGTATCTTACCCACTTAGCAGGTTCCCATACTTGTAGCTGTTGATGCTTGATGTTGAGGCCAAAATCTGATCTTCAGTCTCCTCCTCAGAATTACACTGAACACTACTGCTGTTCTCCACTGTAATATCTCTGCTGGTTGGTCTTTGAGGGTTTTCAGAGGGTAATTAAGCATGAATGATGCTTTTGGATGGCGAATTCCTTGCAACAGGAGTTTGGTAGATTGTTTGTGCCATCTGAAAGCTTCTGTTTGGTTGTTTGGTTTGGTTTTTTTTTTTTTAAGCAGCCTTCTTTGTTTTTAGCAGTTGAGAGTATGGCATGTACTTAATTTTTTAAAAAAGAGGGGAAATACATTTATTTATCTCAACAAAAACAATGGAAGAGATGCCAATCCCAAACTCCAGGCACTCTGCCATCAATTAAAATGCAGTCTGGAACAATAAAAACACTACCCCACCCACATAAAACAAGAAGTAAGCAGGAAAAATATTTTAAAAATAGCAGAATGAAGTTTTACCAGTGAAAGCAAACCTTTCTAAGCTCCAGCCTCGTGAGATTATGAAAGGAGACCTGACTATATTTGTGAGAATGGGCAAATGCTTTTTCTTACTCTACAGTTCGCTGCTTCTGTTGGTGACTTCTTCCAAATGCTAGAGGTTGTTGAAGAAACCCCTTAAAACTCTCTTTTGTGGTTGACCGACTGTTTAGTCAAGTGTGTGTATGGGTGAGAAAAAGAAATCAAATGCTCTGCAAAGGCCCACCTACAGCAGTGGGATTTCACAGCAGCACAGCACTTAAAGTTTGTTCTCTATTTCCATCAGCTTCAAGCACTGATGGGGAGGAGGATGGGCAACCTGTGCCCCATGAGCGTGTTGTTTATAGCCTTGTATACTTTTAGCCAATGGCCTAAATATTACTTGGTGTACACCCAGCCAGTGTAGCTATGAAAGAAAGACTATAAGGCTGTGAACGTTTTCCTGTGCCATGTGAAACTGTAGCCCTTCTTGGGGTTTTGTGTGCCCAGATGGGAGTAATTACTTTTGTGAGCTGGAGCCAGAAGCTTTGCCTTTGATATCATTAGCTGTTTATCAAGGTATTTCTTAATCCTTGCTGAGCCAGCTGACTTATGTAATATTTTCCCTCTGTTTTTTTTTTTTTTGGGAGGAAGCATTTATTGGGAGATATGAGAGCTTTCAATCTGCTCTACACAATCCATACAGACCAGATTTTCATTTCAGTATGTGTTGGTTGTATCTTGCAGCTTCCCACCTGTAAGATACTGTAAGGAACATTACTAAACTAGAGGTTTAAGAAAGGTACATGTTGGAGATGCTGTCTTTCCAGCCCTAGAGAGGCCATCTTTATGTCTATAGAAGAAATACAGAAGCAGGTAGTGGCAGGAGAAGATTCCTTGTAGGAATCCTTTGTTTTCTTTAGGTGCTTAAGAAATTTCTGGGTGTTTTTTTAGGATTATGGTTTATGGAACTATCTTTGCTTCCAAGACTGAGTGAAGTTTCTGATCTCTTAGAGCTGCACAGACGTGTTGACTGATGTAGTGAATTACATGAGGTTTTGAAATCATCATTGTAAGAAAACAAAGAAATTCAGAGTTAATATTCCTGGATCAGCCTCAGCTCTTCTCTCTTGCTTCATGTCAGTTACAACAGGGTCATTCAGCACCAGAAACTCTCATCTTGACTTTTTTCTTGTCGTTAGTGATACTCTGTGTAAAGCATTACTGAGGTGGTAAAACATTTTCCAATGACGTATAAATAACTGGCATGAAAGATATTTTGTGATAAGCGTAACCTGTACTCATCAACCTTTGAATAAGACCTTTGTAGCATGGTTTTCTGATTCATCTGTGTTTGCTTCAATCTGTAAGTTTCCTTACACCAGATCTGTGGCAGAGGATTTCAGTGCAGGATTTCCTGGTCTGCTTCAGTAACCATGATCCAAATAGTGCAAGGTAATTGTAATCAGCAAGGTAAACCATTCTGACTACATGACTTGAAGGTACAATTTTGCTTCCTGCGTTGTGTTGACATCTGGAAAAAATTGGTGTATTGGTCTCAAAATAGTACCTATTCTAAAATAATTTATTGATGGGAAGGAAGATGAGCAGAGAATACAAGAGCTATTTCATATCAGCTATTGCTCATATGGGACTTGAAATTAAATGCTTTTCCAGATATGTTCCTTCTGCCTGAAGTGTATGTTATAAACACTCCTGGTGTGTTTGTGTAGTTTGTAAACACAGTGATTAGACTTAGGTTTATTTTACTACAGGTTTACATAGATGTTTCTTCATAAGACTTTTAATATTCATAAATACTTTAAACGGTAGTTCAAAGATTGTTCAAGGGCAGGAGGAGTCCTACACTTCTGACTTTGCTGTTCTTGTTGGGACACAAGAATTGGCATGGGGACTTTCATTTTAGATGGGGATATAAATGTGTTTTCCAGCTTAATATTGGATATGTTTAAAACCTGTGAGAGTGACTGCCTCCTTCTTGCAGCTTTGTAAGTACTGGCCATTGCCATGTTGCTCTGCTTTCTTCCACGGTATACAAATTGGGGGAGTGTGTGTATGGAAAATCTTGTTTTCATCCATTCTCATCCCACCTGTTTGGAGGGACAGTAGTAAGGAAATGTTTTTTCTTAGGTGATAATGACATTGCAGAGTAGCAGAAGTTTATTACTACAGCTGTTGTGTGCTGGTTTTACACAACTAATTGAAGGAGTAACCAGGTGTGCATGTGTTCCAGCAGATTTGAGGGTGCAGCCAAGTAGTAATTTAGTTCAGCTGCTGCCAGAGTAGATGTGTTCTCCCAGTTCTAATAAATGCCTTCTCGTCACATGCACAGGAGTATCTACTCCACTCTCATGAGACCCCCACCTGGAGCACTGCATTCAGCTCTTGATTCCCCAACACAAGAGGGACTTGGACCTGCTTGAATGAGTCCAGAGGAGGCCACGGAGATGCTGGGGGGGCTGGAGCAGCTCTGCTGTGGAGACAGGCTGAGAGAGCTGGGCTTGTTCAGCATGGAGAGGAGAAGGCTCTGTAAGGGGAGACCTTGTAACAGTCTTCCAGTACCTAAAGGGGACCTAAAAGAAAGCTAGAGAGAGACTTTTTGCAAGGGCATGTAGTGATAGGGCAAGGAGGAATGACTTTAAACTGAAAGAAGGTAGATTTAGATTAGACATTATGAAGAAATTCTTTATTATGAGGATGGTGAGGCCCTGGCACAGGGTGCCCAGAGAAGCTG